GAGCAGCTTTAATGTGATTTTCAGCTCTAATTAGAGTTAAGTCACTTAGTGTGTTGTAATGATGTTTGGCTCACAGAGCAGCAGACGCCGTCCATCAGCCAAATGAAATATTAAACTGACCTACCGCTGGATTACGTGTGTGTGTGTGTTTGTGTGTGTTGATTCATATTTGTAGTTGTGTCAGGAGACCTCCGCAGCACACTGTGCGTCCATTTTCTGCCACATACAGTAAACACACACACACACAAGCAGACACACACGTACACAAATGTCTGACCTACATTCACGATGCACAAACAGGGTGTCAGGAGGGGCAGGGCGACAAATGTGTGTGTTGGGGGTGAAAATCTGCAGGTGCACTGGGCCGTGAATCTAATGCAAAATTAGTGTTATCCTGCTGCCAAATAATTCATGATCCCGCATCCAAAATGATAGCAGAAGGACTCGACTTGTCATCCCCTCAGTCTATGTCACTCTCCCCCGTGAACCATGTTTTATTCAAAATGTCACATAGAGCATGAACTAGTAAATAAGTACAGCTACAATTGGCAATTCTCTGCTTTGATCCCAAAGGACTGTTAGGCCTGATTCAACAGTAGATAAAAGGAACGAAGTGGCCCTGACTTACTATATGTAACCTTTTTCTGCAATTTTACAGAACACAATACTTCATGTAGTGCCACACCCCTAAAATAAATAAGCATTACCAGTCAGGCTCCCAGATGACATTTTCCAAAGAGTATTGTATTAAGAGTCACAGATACAATAAAATCAGCTCCAGCTGTGACTCCATGAACCTGGCTTCATGGGTGGTGATCACAATGTTGTACCTGCTACAAAGAGGAATGAAGGGAGGTATAAAAGAAACAGCAAAGGAGACTTGGCTTCACTTTTAGTTCACTGGCCAGAGCCCAGTTGAGTGTGTTTACTTTATCGTAGGTCAGTGTGAGCACACACCCACTAACTATAGCCAGGGCCCCAGCATATAAAACCCTAAATAATAGGTCTACATTTAGAGAAATCATCGGGTGTCGCTGTGGAATGCAACACCATTGTGGTGAAGCATTTTCACAAAAGAGCAAACAACCACTGGAGAAAGCCAGAGAGAGTAGTTTTAGTATCAGCTGTTTGACTAAATGTTGTTTTAGAAGCTATATAATTGTATTAGTACCACTTGTGCTTTTCCTTCTATGACAAGTCAAGATGTCTGCTGTGGAAAAGGCTTATTATATCAACTCTCTTACACCTGTGAAGTGAAAACACATTCTGGCTCGTAGTGAAGGTTTTTTTTATCTTATTCCATAGAGACATAAACCCTCCAAAGGCTTCATATCTCAGCCATGCTACACTGCCATCTATCAGGCGCTGAGAACATAGCCGATTGCCACGCATAGGCCTGCTCAAAATAATAAAGAAACAGGGAATGTGCCGCTAAAGGAAGCAGTAACATTAGGGCACTGGACAGAAATGCACCGAATCGATTCTTATTGTGAAGGGCTGAACACAGAGTCCACAAGAGTAAAAGTAAGAGGAGTAGGTAGATGTTGTGATAGCTACAATTAGCCTCAGTTAGCATAATGGCCATTTGTACACATCTGTTTAAATGTGTGGTAAAATGTATCTCCAGTGCAGCATGGTTATGAATACCGGTGGGAACACATTGGATATGAAGCCTGGATGCTACGCAGGCGACACATGATCTTTGTTTTGTCATGATAAACAAAAGTTGACAAGAAACACAGTCGACAGAAAAGCCTTCCTCCTCTGATAACCTAAACACACACACACACACACACACATGTGATTGCATATACACATATTCACACTCAAAGCCACATGTCTAAGTTGATCATATTTGCCGGTGAAGTCCTATGATTGCAACGTAAACAAAATGGAGCACAAAGAGGGAGGTCTGAGCCCTGTAGTCACCTGAGCATTCGCAGACATGAAGGTGTGTATGTGTGTGTGTGTGTGTGCGTGTGTGTTCCCTCTAATGAGAGACAACGGCCGACCTGGCCGTGCTCTGCCCGAATACAAAGCGATTCCATCGCAGTTCATGCGAGCTCTTTTGTTAAACCATCACATCTTACCCAGCAAACCCACTGCCATTTAGAATAACAGATGAATAAATGGACGAGGGGGAAAGAAAAAAAAACCCAGTAGACTGAAACCACAGTGGAACTCAGTAATGGTCAGCCAGGCCCACCACGCCTCAGCAAATGTTTGTCCTAACCTGTTATTTCTGGCATTGTACTGTCTCAAAGAGATCATTTTATTCTCTGAGAGGAATGCGGCAGCTATAAATAGTCTGGAGATGAAGGAGGGGAAATCAGAGATTTGTAGAGTAATTACAGAGCCAGAGTCGAACCCTTCTGTTATGGCTCATTTTTCATCAACCTCTGTCTCCACGACTGTCTGACTGACTGACCGACTGAGGCAAGATGGCCGTTTTCTTGATGGGAAATGCATGTCTGACCCGATACATGACCTCGATTTCTTCGATTTGTCTGCTCAAAGAGTCTCAAGATTTAAAGGAAGGGTTTTGGGAAAGTCTGTCCTCACAGGAGAAACCACACATCTGACGTGTCGTTTGTAATGGTTTTGATGGCCTGCAGATGGTGGCATCAGATCAGAAAACACGTGTCAGTTTGGGGACTCATATTATCTTGACGTTTCTGGTTAACAACAGTGAGTGACAGGAAACAGAATGTATCGAAACACGAAGTAAAGCTCAGGGGTTTGTGTCCAATGGGAAGAAAATAGACGGGAAGTACACGTCCCATGCCATGCCCATCTGTGGTCAAGTAAATTACATTGTGAAGCACAGTAATAAAAGGCTTTTAACACATACACTCTTCGCAAAGAAATGTGACCCTGGCACAGCAGAAGCGTGCATGTGTGATCAGACATGAAAGACTTTTAATGAGAACAAGAACACAATATTACAGGAAATCATGCTAGAAACTTGTCAATACAAAAAGAGCAGATCTAAAACAGCCAATAAATAAAATTGCTCTTTTGTTTTTTTCGGTGTAAACTCAAACAGCCAGTCAAGTTGCCCTGACAGCACTGTGTCTCAAATAATCTTTGTGGAGTATAAAAAGGACTTTTAGCTGGTAAATTGCTGTAATTATCAAACATGCCCTTCTCATTTTGCAGACCTCGTTGGCAAATTCATCCGACAATTAACAAAAGCTGGAAATGAATGACACGTAATGGCGTGGCCCACATTACTCAGATGAGGACAAACAATCTGGAGAAAGGAGGTTGTAGTGATGGGAAATGTGCAAAACAAAGCTTCATTCGCTTTTGAAACGACGGCTGCAAATCCGCAATAGTATAGAAAACCTAAGAAAATTCTTAATCCTGTTTCTCCTGCTATGTGTTATTTATTCATTACTGGTGGCTTTTCTCTCAGTTGGAGACACTTTATAGGCTTTGTACTGTGGCTTTGTTGTGGTCTGAGGGAGGAGGAGGAAGAGGCGGAGGGCACAAGATGCAAATGACAGTGTTTCACAGCATTTTGTCGCCAATCATAGAGAAATTATAGCTCCATGAGGCTTGTATGCAACATATAAAGTGGCTTCTCGAGAGTGAAGATGTGCTGTAGCTCTGACTGTTTTCTGTGGATAAACGTGATTTTTCGGAGGATTTTCCCGCCTGTGAAATCTCTCAAGCCATCCATTTATTTATTCAAATCCCTTTTCATTAATCATCAACCCACAGCGAGCAGTCACTCATGAGCTTTCCTAATGTTGGGAATGAAGAGCTCATAATCTTAAGGGAAATGTACTAAAAACACACATTTTAAGACATTGTAAATAGTCTTCTAAATGTACCCAAAGGAACAAACTCGTGTAGTTTATAGGTCAATATTCCTTTAAAAACGGGTGAAATACTGTCACATTCACGAATTGAATGGTGAGAAGATTACAACATGTGCTGAGTTTGGTCACAGGAAACTGCCTTTAGTTGTACCCCCCCTTAATTTTAATTTTTTAAGATTGCATGAGCACATTTTTATTCACAGAGAAATGTCGCCCCTGTGTGGACAGTATGTTGTACTGCAACACTAGAATGAGCGTTTACAAGACACTTTCAGATTTAAATTATTTGCTCTTTATTGTATTTACCATTCATTTAATATTTATTAGAAATGTGTGCAAATATTTACTATAATTTAAACCATGATTTATTTGTTTTTTGTAGAGCGTATACAACTATTCACCTCCTTGGAAGTTTTTTTATTGTTTGACTAACTACACACAGGTGATCAATTTAACTAATTATGTCACTAATTCTAACGTGCCGCGGCCGGCGCACTGATCTGCATTCTGTGGAAATATTGGATTTAAACCTTGGTTTCAACCCTGTTTGAACATTTTATTGTTCGGGGTACAAAGAAGACATCTGTACGACAATGAAAATACATTTAAAGATACAACCTGCTGCTAGATAACAGGTAAAAAAACAACAACAACATTTTGACTTTTTCACCGGAAGTAGTATGGAAGGCCATTTCCGAAAAACGACAACTAAAAAGCCCGTTATTTTAATTTTATTTTTTGAAAATTATGAGATAGAAAGTGGACATTTTAAGATACTTTAACACAACCGTCATAGAAGCAGCTCTTTGGCATAGGTTACCCTACATTTGACATAGAAATACATTGAAGGCTACTTTAAACGTGGGTTTGTACTACTAAGCAAACGCACCCTTGAAAGGATTTTCAGCAAGAAGCAGCTATGGCGTAGAAAGAATAAACCGACTTTCTATCTTATAATTTCTCTTTATTTTTTTTCGTAAATAAAAAAAAATACTTTATTTCATTATTCATTTATTTTTTATTTTTGCTGCCGGAAATTGGCTTCCGTAAAGTAACGCTTCATCTTTGATTAATGTATGGAGTGACGCTGTGCGCGAGGCTAGCGGCGCGAGGTAACGTATCGGTCAACTGCAGAGTCGAGTCGGTCGGGTGGAGGTCACTCAAGTTATCCACATGAATGTTGCCATGGAAGCGGAGATGAATGTTGTCATGGAAGCAGATAACCGGCACGAGGTGAGCGCAGTCTGCCGTTAACCGCCTTTGCTGGCAGGGTAGCTAGCATAAGTTGTGTCATTTTAAACGGTTCTATCTCGCTAACGTTAGCTTGCTAACATTAGAAAAAGTGGGAATTATATCGAAATAAGTCAACTAAGTAGTTAACCATGGAATTTAACTTTGTGATTAAACAGTGGAGCCTTTTTTTGGTGTAAAATATTTCAATTTTATGTCTGAGCTAGCTTGCTAATAAGCTACAAGAAAGAGTTTACCAATGGGTAAAACATACATTTATAATCAAGTATCTCAAGTGAAGCAGTGTACACAGTAATGTCACCACAGTGGCGATAGTATATATTACTGTATACATTAACTTCATGAAACTGTTCATGTAAGATTCATTTTTGTGAATATCTAACGTTACAGGCTGCAGGTGCATCCACCTTGTCTGACTTAAAAGACCCAAGTACCTGTTTATTATTATATTTGTTGGACTTCAATGAGTGATTAAGAAGTTGGCTGTACGTGTTGTCTGGTAGCAAATGGAGGATGGTGGTGATTTTCTTTTGATCTGGTGTAAAGTAATAACAGAGCGTCCTTCTCGCCATAACAAAGCAAGTTTAAAACTCTTCTTATGTACATCAAATGGGATTTTAGTACTCCTTAAGTCCCAGTACTCGGCTCCTTTCTGGCGGGAAAGAACGTCATCACACCAGATTCAATCTTCTTTTAATTGCATTTTAAGTTCACATCCAGCTGTCCATCCCAGAACAGCAGCTGCTCCTCCAGCCCAGAAGTGTTGCCTTCAGGAACCCACGATGACAGCCCGACCCACTACACCCGCTGCACCGGCACCTTTATCCACCGTCCCGGCACCGTTATCCCCAATCGGATCTTTGTTGGGGGAATTGACTGCAACGTAAGGGCAGTAAACACACTGGCATAGAGAAACTGAACTGTTGTAATTGTTCCTCAAAATTCAGCGTTAAAAGTAACAAATTGAAGGGGTTCAGGAACCACCTGTTTTTTGGCTTTTACCATCATTCCTTCGAAATACTTTCCCTTTGTCCTGCCGCCTCCTAATTTAAACATTCACTGTATATTTAGTCTGAAATCTGGAGTAAAGTGTCCCTAAAGATGGAGTAATATAACAGTAAATGTGTGTGTATGTGCTTTATGAAGGTTAATGAGAGCGACCTGCGACACGTCTTCTCTCAACATGGTGCAGTAAAAGAGGTGAAGATTGTGATAGATCGCTCAGGACTATCAAAGGGGTGAGTTAGCGTCGTCGTATACAGTTTTCTATCCTTTGAGCATTGGTCATGGATGCATAGATGCTGTCAGCCCGTTAAAACTGTTTTTCTTTGAACAGATATGGCTTTGTTACATTTGAGAGCCAAGATGACGCTCTGAAAATCCTTCATGATGTGAGTATTGGCCATTAAGGTATCTTGCAACTAAGGCACATATAATAATGTAGCTTATCTGCCAAAATCTATTGTCTAATGCAGCGTCGTTTCCCTCAACTACCACATTAAAGGCTAATGGAATCTGTTTTAAAGACGAGAAGCTCAACATTGGTCAGGCTGTCCGTAGGCAGCAAGCTACAGCACAAAGTAAGTTGAAAGAAAGGTGCATATTTACTGACATGACGCATAAAAGTAATGGAATCTGGCGTCTCTCCACTTGTTTCTGGGCCACTAAAGGTGACTAAATAGTTGTAGGTTGACTGTTTTGTGGCTCTTTTCTTTCGCAGCCAAGAGTGTCCTTGTGCCCGCCCCTGACTCTGCCATGCTTCGGCCCATCTCCTGTGGGACCACACCTGCAGGCTGTCCTTACATCTACCACAACGGAGCGGCCTACTTCCACTGCCCCAACATGCCCCAACCTCTTGCCTACCACTGGCCTGTCAGCCATCAGCCTGTCTACCAGCAGCCAGCATATCACCACCACCAGGTCAGCTCAGCCCTTTAGTGATCCACTGTCACCATTTACCAAGAACAGCATGGGTTTGAACTTTATTTAACAGTGCTTTCTTTCCTTTTCACCCTGTCCCAGTGTGCCCCGAACCAGTATCAGTGGAACGTCGTCCAGGTAGGCGGAATGAAGGCGTTTGTTCTTTTTTAGTTCAGGAGAATTAGGCTAGTTGTTGACTGTTTTTTGTCATCCAGTCGCCGATGCCCCCCAGTCCAGTCGTGTACCCCCAGCCGTCAGAATATCTGTATCAGCCTGCTGACGGAGGCCCCGTCCAGCCTCCTCTGCCCGTCATGGAGGACACCACACCAGAGGTACAGATCACTGTGAATCCACTCCCGCAAGTAATTGTTTGGAAACCGATTTGCTCTTTTAACTTTACAAATATTGAGTTTATGAGTACTAGTAAACTTCAGTGTGTTGTCATTCTCTTGCAGTTTGTTGAGCCCACGGTGCTGCAGGTTTACCCGTCGTATCCTCCAAGAACTGACGGAATGACCCCCATCGTTCTGCAACACGACCCTAGAAAGGTAAAACAACGTTTTCCGTCATGTTCGCGTATCGCTCTCCATTTCTGCAAACCGTCACTGAGTCTTTTGTTCCATCTTCTTCTCTACAGAATCTGATGTTTCCCCCTGTGCAGGTCCACCGGATGCCAAAGTACCGCCGGTTCATCCACCACGAGGACTACCACTACCTGCCAGAAGCAGCAGAGCCACCAGGCGCCTCCATGCTTCACACTCACCAACCTCTCATGTAGGCTAAACACACGACCTCTCATGTCCGTTTAGTCACTCTTCCTTCTCCAATATACTCTCTATTGATATGATCTATCAACTGTCTACCCTGTGCCTTACAACATAATGCAGTGTGTGATTTCTTAGCCAGAGACTTTGTCTGTTGCTCCTCCACCTTGTAGACTCTCAGCCCTCAGATCTGTGTCTGTGTTGATGCTGTAATACAGCTGGATGATTGAGGTTTGCGCTACGTTGCAGTGGCTCACATTGCATACTGTACATAACAGTATTCATAGTAATGTCTTCACTGTAATCGTTTTGATAACACAAAAACTGCCGTGACTGAACAATGTCTTGAAATCTGATTATTCAGATTTGCAGGTTTCTTATTATTGGAGCTCAGCTAATGTCTTCAGCTCTTCAGAGTTAATGATCTGTGACGGAGTCAGGAGATTTAAATACTTTTTACCACAAACCTTTAAGCTGGAATTCAATTTTAAACCTTAAAAATGTACAATATCGAAAAAATAGTCAAACAATTACACTTTAAAACCTGATTATTTCCTTACAAACAAACTCAAACTTGGCTTTAAATCTGTGAAGAGTACGTTCAAGCTCAGGTCGACCATCTTTCTGATTTCACTTGAACATAACTTGAACCCTTTTTTTACACTTTGTTTATGTTTTGCCCTTTTCACAGCGTTATGTTAGCTACATGCACACAGACACGTTATGATGCAGCTGAGAATATTTCTCATTTTACCTTTTGTTTGAGGCTCACTGAGATGAATGGGCAATCTTTTAGGATCCTCCTCTTAGGATTTTCATCCATTTCTCAGTAAGATGATGATGGAAATTTGTCTGCACTATTGTTACTAGACTAAGGCCTTTATCAGCTCTAATTGATTTATTAATAACACTTTAGAACCAGGAGAAAGCAGCTTTATTATTGAAACGGTACCGAAGAAACAACGTCATGAACACGTAATGTATTCTCTATAAAACAGGCTGATTGTGAGAGTGCATATTTAGCCGTTTCTGACAGCACAATCCTTCCATGAATGTGTACCGGTTACTGAGCAATTTTATACATCAGGAATCATCATTTTATATTTGGAAATATAAAATAGATTAGATTACAGATTTGTAATCACAGAACATGTATGTTAGAGGAAAAGGTTGTGTGTTACTTTTCTAGTGTTATAAAAGTTCATATAGTTTAAATGGGCTGTTTCCAAATCTCTAACACACCTGCCCTGAAATTCAATATGGATTATATTGCATTTGAAAGATATCTATTTTTTAAATAATATATTTCCCTGGATATTTTATTGCAAATCTACTCAATCCTTATGCTGTAATGTTCTATGTCATATTTGTTCAGTTTGACGTATTTGTGCTCATAATTCAGGTGAAATGTTCATTTTTCAGTGTGCTTTTTGTTTTATTGTATTACCAACTCCATATATTCTGTCTTGGGATCAAACTCCGCTATTGACAGTGAAATGTATAACCAAAGAATCTAAAATATGTGTGATTTGTTTACATATTCTTAAATGTGCGGTCTGTACTACTAAATGTCACATGACACTCACTTGTTTTGCTTTAGTTCAGTGTGTTATAATAAATGTTTCCTTCCTGTAGTGGCTGTGTTTTGCATTCTTATGCAACAAAAACAGATCAAAATCAAACCAGCAGAGTAATGATGAATTTTATGGATCATGCGGCAGAAATGCTGACTACTACATTTCCCATAATGCAACATGATAGCCTCTCTCGAGCAAACGCCTCGGGCCAAATACTGACCGCAGGATTATTGCGTCACCGTGTTCTGCCAACGTTTTACCATCTTGTGATGCAAGTTGTTAATTGGCTGAAGAGGAAGCCATTTGATAAACTTAACGGGACTAAATCAGGTGTGTTTATGCAGGAGTCCTGTGTGTGGGGGGTCAATAATGTGCGAGTCTAGACCAGGAACATTAATGAATCAGGGTTTTTATCTGTGTGAATGGGATCAAGACCGTGGCAGGGGGGCAAAAGCACCAAACGCATGCTCACTAGAATAACAAAAGGCTTCATAAAACAACTGTGTGTCTCTGCGTCAGCTGTCTGTGCGTGACGAGCTTCATACCGTTTACAGGGACTTCTCAGATAACAGAGACTAAGATGTGAGTAATATTGGACTAATAAAGCACAACATTACGACTACATAAATACTATTTAAGATGCTCATTTTGGACAAAACTCTTCACTTTCTTGTCTCTTCGTCAGTAGTTTCTGGGGCCCCTGAAACGCCTAACTTGGGGCCCAGAAACATCAAATCATGTCATGTGCAAAGGTCCAACTCAGCATGTAAAGGTTTAGTGTAGTCACTAAGAGTTTATGCTAGCAGCCCTTTGAGGCTGCACTGGGGGACTGCAGTGTTTTGAGCTACATGTTAACATGTTACTGTTTATTAATGCAGATATAATGTTAAGGGCGTTAGACGTCGTAGTTTAGCACGTTAGCGTGCTAACATTTAGCACTAGCCGCAAGGTAAAGCCGAGGAATATCATTAGTTTTGTATATTTTAGATCAATAACGTAAGTACTGAACAAATTTACATTTTTACCTGATGACAGATTTCATTATCATGTTGTTGTGGCACAGCACATAAGGAATGGATGAAAAGGACACAGATGATGCTTGTTTTGCTGGAGCTGTGAGCGCTGACCCCCGGGGTCACTAGCACACTGCTGTGTTTTCATGAACATGTGAAAACCGGACAACAATAACTGATCATCGCACCGTGTTGCGTTGCTATACATAACCAGATTTGTGTTATAAAACCTATTTGGATGACAATACTTTATGCTGTGCCATCAAACAGCTACTTTATATAAAAGGACCGCGGCATGGAGAGCGTCTATTGAGTCAGTCTGGCCCCCCCCAACTAACGTAACAATGGGAAAGGTAAGCTCGTTATGTGTTGTTCCTGAAAATACAGATTGAAAACATTTTCCCAGTGGGAGTTGATGATTGATTAATAAACAAATACATTCTGCAGATCGTATTCTACGAGGACAGGAATTTCCAGGGTCGGCACCATGAGTGCGTGAGCGACTGTGCTGACCTGCACACGTACTTCAACCGCTGCAACTCCATCCGGGTGGAGAGCGGCTGCTTCATGGTGTACGAGAGGCCCCAGTACCTGGGCCACCAGTATTTCCTCCGCCGGGGGGAGTACTCCGACAACCAGCGCATGATTGGCATCAACGACTGCATCCGCTCCTGTCGCATGATTCCCACGGTAAGCCAAAGAGCATCAATTAGGGTGATTATTGACGCTGATAATAATAAGTCAAGGAGAGAGAAACCAAACCAGTCTGACTCATAAATGTTGCTTCCTGCAGCACCGTGGTTCCTACAAAATAAGACTCTATGAGCGTCCAGACATGGGCGGCCAAATGCAGGAGGTGAGCGACGACTGCCCCAACGTCCAGGACCACCTGCATATGTCTGACATTAACTCGTGCAACGTGGTCGACGGCCACTGGCTGATGTACGACCAGCCCAACTACAGGGGAAGACCCTACTACGTGAGGCCCGGCGAGTACCGCAGATACAGCGACTGGGACGGTGTCAGTCCGAGGATCGGCTCGCTCCGGCGAATCACCGACTTCAACTAGAAGTCTTTCAGAAAAACCTTCCTCCTCTCTCTGTTCTCAATAAACATGCTGGGCATAAACTGTGTGCATGTGTGTGTCTGTATCTAAAAGACTCCGAGATGTTTCCATCATTCGTTATTTGCTGCTCTGAGCTCTTCCTCGCTACGTTCAAAACACAATGAGATCTAATACGTCACCTAAGCAAACCCACCAAACCCCTGAACTCCAAAGAGCCCAAAGAAAACCAAAGCAGCATTTGACAGAACTGAAGTAATTGGATAGATTTATTGACAGTACTTCAGATAGACAGTGTCTGGACATCCGCCTTCCTCACACAGCGACGCGTCGGATGGATCCCACCCGAGAACTCGTGCTGCCCCACTCATTGAACCTCCTGTATTCACCGGAGCGCACCAGGTACTGGCGTCCCCTGTAGTTGGGATGCTCGTAGAAGATCCAGTTGCCGTCCATCACGTTGCAGGAGCAGATGTCGCTGAAATGGAAGCGCTCGCTCAGGGAGGGGCAGTCGTCCGTCAGCTCCATCGTCCGGCCTCCGAACTCCGGGCGCTCGTAGATCATCATTCTGTGAGGGCTTTGGTGCTGCAGAAAAAAGACAGTGTGAGGGTTATGAAATAGAAACGGCGGTTTTAGGGTGAAACCAGCCCGACTGAAGCCTACCGTAGGGATCATACGGCAGGATCGGACACAGTCGTTGAATCCCATCCAGCGCTGGTAGTCTGGAAAGTCTCCCTTCCTCAGGTAGTACTGGTAGCCCATGTAGCTGGGTCGCTCATAGACCATCCAGTCACCGCTGTCCACTCTGATGGAGTTGCAGCGGCTGAAGTGGGAATGCAGGTCGGAGCATTCGCTGCTGCACTCATACGAGCGACCCAGGAAGTTCTTGTCCTCGTAGAAGATGATCTGGAAACATCAATCGAGGGTCAAATTATAAAGTAAAAATATACCACGTGTAAGAAATGCTTCCAGTTCACCGGTTTCGACTGAATACCCAGAGACACAAAAGGCACACAGCAAAACAAGCAGCCTTACCTTTCCCATTGTGTCGGCTAACCTTCGTCACGCTGTGCAGCGGCGGGCCGTGGGCTCCACGCTGCCTTTATAACCCGCGGGTGACCCGTGTCTTTGTGACTCCGAACAATGAGCGCGCTCGTCAGCTCTTTCTCACACAACAATATTTCGTTTCAGGAGGCCAATCGGCTGCTTTGAGCAGAGGCTGCCCTTTTGAATGTGCTCTGGTCTGAAAACACTCATAGAATCTACAAATAAAACAAAAGTTGTTGTATGAAATTATGGAAAACTCGTGGGAAAGCTCATGTTTGTTTGTACCAAGTTTATTTCTCCATCTCCAATTTCCATATATATTTATCTTTGTACATTTGAACACATATTTGACATAAAATCCAATCTATCCCCTTTAAATACAGATGATTGTGAGACTGTACAAACTCAACGGAGGCTGTAGCGATTTTAAAAACGTGTTGAATTCGACGTCGTAGATGAGTGAATATTCAACGTCCCGTGAAGTGAACACAACCGCGGCCTCGCTTCTGTACACAGCAGCAGCTTATATATGATTTACAATTCAGAAACCCTTTTTCTCTTCATGTCAGCATAATAACACGTTTGTACGTAGTTCTCTCAGCAATCCCTCCCTTATTGTTACATCGTCTATAGACTAAGCTCTAGAACGCCGCTTCAACACAGGTGCCACGTGAGTGACTTTTACAGTAGAGCTGTTGTTGTGAAGTATACGTCACTGGTTTGTGTACATTTTAATAGTTTATTTAGTGGGTTAACCTTTTCACGTGCTGAAATTACATCTTGTCGAACTTAAATATGTATCTTGTTCCTGCAGGCAGCTGGTCCAGAGGTCGACGATCACCATCTTGGATGAACACATCAGTCACTATTGTCAATTAATACCATGGAAAAACATCCACTGTGAGCTAGAAACATGAATAGTTGTACTTATTGCAAGTGAATGACTGATCAGATGGTGACAGTGTTCATTTATGGATCATCTTTCAGCATGATACTGAAAGTTATGTTGGGTTGTGTGATTATTGGACACATCTGTGGGACATCGTTTTGATTCCCTCCATTTTCTGTCCTGCACAGCTGCATTCTGAGTGACTTTTTTCTGAATGTTTTTCTACATTTCTCTTGATGTCAATGAAATGCCTGAATGTCAGCTTTTCTTTAAATAAAACTAGTTTTGTAAAATAAAAAAAAGTGTCTGAATGAATGAAACTTGGATGTATTTTGACAGTCAGAATTTATTGAAGATTTGACAGAAGAATATTCTTACTGCAAAGAAAACATGAGGACCAGCAAACAGTATAAAGACGGACAAAATATCATTATATATTTTACTTTTAGAGCTGTGTAGAACAAGTAAGTGACGTCTCAGAGAGTGTGTCGTGCAGAGATGAAAGGTCCTGCACCACCATCTCGTTCTCGTTCAGCATCAGAAGGTCTACTCACCCTCCCTCCGTCTCGTCCGGCAGTTTGCTGCCGATCCTGATGAGCATGCAGTAGGCAAAGGGAGACTTGAGACCAGACATGGTGAACTTGTTGAGCATCTTGGTGACAGCAAGACGGTCGTTCTTCCTGAGGTGATACAACAGGCCCAGGGCATGGTACTGGAATACGGGACACACACAGGAACCAACAACCTTCGGACTGTTGGGTGTGAGCTGTAACCACTCACACCCAACCAAAGATAGAATTGATAGTTCAGTTTATTGTTGTACATTCTGCATTCAAGAGGACAAACTGAAAAGAATGGTTCCTGCTGGGATTCAAACTAACATCCTTGTGTACAAAAAACCAACAACTTATCCACTACACCATGATGGACACATTGGGATTGATCTAGCTAATTATTATAAATGCAGCGCTAAGCATTCATAATAATCATAATCCATCCTTTTTCTTTGGAGCATGTGGCCGAATCTTACCAGCTCTCCTTTAATGTGTCAATAAACATGTTAGATTCTTAGAAAACTCATATAAAACCAATGATGTATATGTATGGGGCCCTGTTGACTCGGATGCATAAACCACAGACACCTATCGACACTCTACTCTCTTATAAAGCCATGAAAGTCCCCATTAATATTTTATATTTCATTATTAATTACTCACTGCAATACGAATACATTAGAATACATTAGCTCTCCTGTATGTTCATATTTTAGACCTTATACTGTAAATTTGCTATACATGTTATTATACATGCTTGTATTTGTATTTTAGCTAACTTTCAGGAAAAAAACACATTTTTTTGCTCTTCATATGAGTCGATTCCGACAACTTAATCTGTCTATGAATCTGTATATTAATCTGAAGATCGCTGAGTGGGCCAAACTGTCACCGATCTAAAATGTGCTCAGAAAAGAATTCAAACAAAATATGCGTCAAATCATTTTATTGTGCGCATCACGCGGTTATAGAGGTAAATTCATCGTGGCTGGATTGCACAGTACAACTGGAAACTACATGCAAACAATGCACAAATCACAGTTTCAGGATAAAAACAAGGCTCCTTCTTGGCGCCTCTCACTTCGACAACTCGTTAATGTTAATAAAAACAAAAGCATCTGCAAAACCTAGTAGCTAAATATAAGGGATCAGACAGTTAGGACTCTGTGATGCGTCTGATTGAATTGAACCTCATGTCGTCGCTGCTCGTCTCCCTCAGGTTCCTGTACTTCCCGGGTTTCAGATAAAACATCCGGCCCTCGTAGTTGGGCTGCTCAAACATCAACCAGTAGCCTTCCATCACGTTGCAGGACTGCATGTCAGACATGTGATAGTGGTCCTGGATGGAGTCGCAGTCCTCCGTCAGCTCCTGCATCTGCCCTTCGAAGTTCGCTCTCTCGTAGATCCTCATCTTAAAGGGTCCCTTGTGCTGTTAGAGTACAACATGTCACAATAAATATGCATTGATCCAACAATAGCAGAAGCAATAACAATAGCAGTTTCTCCCCCTAATCACGTCCTGGAGACTCAAGTGATCCAGATGTTCTCCTCTGATTCTGGATAAGAAGCGACCAAACATATCTCTCATGTTCCTTTACGTGACTTGTCTGCCTCTTGTCTCTCCTCCTTCAATGGTGTTGTGCTCATATTTACCACAGGGACAATGCAACAGGACTGGATGCAGTCGTTGAAGCCGATGGTGTTCTGGTACTCAGGGTACTCTCCCCGGGTCAGGAGGTACTGCTGGCCCGTGTAGTTGGGCTGGTCATAGACCATGAACGCCCCGCTCTCCACCCTGCAGGAGCTGCATCGGCTCAGGTGAGAGGCGATTTCAGAGCAGTCGCTGATGCACTCATACGAGCGGCCCTGGAAGTTTCTCCCCTCGAAGAAGACGATCTAGAGACGAAGACATTAAGAGAAGCTACATGTGCGTAAACGGGAGTTTTTTGGTACATATACAGTATAAAAGTCTGAGCTCGAGGCAGCATCTGGCTGCTGCAGCGGTCTGCACCCTTCATTACCTTTCCGCTCATGGTCGCACTATTTGATTTCTGTTGTCCTTCCCACTGGCGCTCTGCCTTTTATGCATCATGTGACATCAAAAGAATCTGGCCCCTCAATTGTACAAAATGACTGAGTCAGCTCATCTGCGTGGATGTCCCCTACTGTATTATACAATCGAAGCTGCGGACAGATTAAACAGTAGTGGTGCAGAGTTCACAGTGACAAAGCAAACTCTGGTTATTGCATTACCTTTGTATTTTATTTTCTTTATCGGGCATGTTTACGTCGAGGGAACAGTATACAACAGACCCGAGATTAAGTCAAATGCTTTGATTTAAAGCTGAAATATCACTTTTGAAAGCAGAAATAACACATTTTTAATTGATAAGAAATAAAACACAACATGGCTCAGTTCAGTAGGTTCAGGAGTTTTGCAGCTACAGCCGTACTTGTTCTGGTATCACCAGTTTATTGTGGCCAAAGTTATCAAACGTTTTCATGGATATTACTGTTTATCTGACTTTATCACTGACACACTTTTGCTACATTACATTTCATTATGTCTCAAATGAACATTTAAATAGTTTTGACACAAACACAGCGGTCCTCACGAGGAGGCATGTTTGTTTCATTGTCCTATAATCACCACCAAGTTTACATCATCTCTCCGAGCAAAACAACATCTCATTGTTGCCCAAAAGCAGAATCTCAATAATGTGTGTGTCCTGCTTATCAAAATGTAATATTATCCAAACTAATTCATGCTCCTCAGAGGTTGAAATACTCCATTGGCGTCCCTAGCACGATAGCTTAGTACGCACGATATCTCAAAATATAACATGCTGATTGCCATGAAATTAACTGAGTACATTAATGTCCTCAAGGGGGATAAAACCTTAAGAATTTATTAATCACATGACCTTTCCTTTTAGCGCCACCGTACCGTCAGGACAGACTGAATATTTACTCAATGCCGTCCAAAAGTGAATGACAAACTGCATTTTATACTTCTCCGTGTTTATTTAGGCAAAGAAAAAATACAAAATATCCATTAATATTGGCATGTTTTTATGATATATTATGACATGTTTGTCGTCAACGTTGAACCAGGAAGTTGCTCCGCAGTGCTGTGCTGTACAGTAATGGTGCTTACAATGGGCAGTCTAAGTAAAGCCTTTGTGTCATGTTTGGATTAAGGGGAGGTTGTAATAATGGTGGGGGAAAATGTGAGTCACTAAACGTTCAGAGTGGAGGTGTGAGGAGTTGACTGTTGGGGAACTTGAGGCCGGATATATACACATAAATAGTACTACATAGTAATATTAACAGCTGTTCTCAAAGAAGCTCCCACAAAATGTTAACATGTATACATGAATGACTTTAAATCTTTATTTAGGGATGAAAATGTCAATGTTTCCCTCTGACCTCTTGGGGGACTTTCACCACTGCTTCATTGCAAAGCATGTAGTCACACTCAGCGTAAAGAAAACTACAAAACAGCAGAGAGATACTTCAAAATATGATCTTTATTTTCAACGACAATCAGCAGTTGTCCGTGATGCGCCTGATGGAGCTGATTCTCGTCACGTTGCTGGCTCCCATCTCTCTGAAGTTCCTGTACTCTCCCGGCCTCACGTACATCATGCGGCCTTTGTAGCTGGGCTGCTCGAACATCAGCCAGTGGCCGTCCATCACGTTGCACGACTGGCAGTCGGACATCAGGTAGCGATCCTGGATGGACTCGCAGTCGTCCATCAGCTCGTGCATCTGGCCGCCGTAGTTCTCCCTCTCGTGGATCTTCATCCTGAACTGCCCCCTGTGCTGTTGGAGCACGACATGTCGGTTTCTAGACTGCCTTTTTTCTGGGGTCTATCAGAGGCACCATAGTTCCCTATTCACCTAACATGCATGTCTGCCAAACTACCAAAATGTCTTACCATGGGGATCATGCGACAGGACCGCACAGTATCCATCATGGCCATTCCCATCATGCCCATCATGCTCCCTATGCGCTGGAAGTCGGAGTACTCCCCTCTCTTCAAGAACACCTGGTTACCCATGAAGTTGGGGTGGTCGTAAGCCACGAAGCACCCGTTCTCCACCCTGCAGGAGTTGCAGCGGTTCAGGTGCATGTGGATGTCGGCGCAGTCGCTGCTGCAGTCATAGGACCGACCCTGGAAGTTCCTCTCCTCGTAGAAGATAATCTGCAGCAAAAAAGATACAGGAAAGAATAGAAAGCAGCAGTTTGCATCATACATGCGTATGTAAACTATTCATCAATATATTTCTATAGCACCAGATTTCCCTGATACTAACACATGATAAATATTACCCTGCCCATGGTGACGCTTTCAGTTTTTTTTGCAAATGCTGCCAACCCAGCGCCACTTTTATATAGACTATGAGCTGCAGACCACCTTGCACACCTTTGTGTGAAACATCATGACTCATCACGAGGTGCACGTGGTTCTGCATTCATTTTTTTCACAGCCAACCTCAATAGTTATTATTGTATGCTGAATGTTTGGGAGGTCAAGTCAGGTCATAACAGCAGCAAAACGTTCCTCAAATGATGTTTTATTGATTTTTACTCTTCAAATGTTACAAGGCCAAAGCTTTGCTGTGTGGCATTTGTTCAATACTTTTAGTGTAACCATAAAGTTCACATCTGATAATCACACCACTAATCACACCGTAATAACTACTGCGGGTTCTGACATACAGTGAAGTCTGCCACCCTATAGTGCTGCACTGTGCCACAATATAGAGTGATGACTCAAAGGTTTCAGCACAAGCCATGTGGAAATACTACGGCTGTGCAATGTATAAAAAGGGAAAAGGGTCGATGTTGATGCAGTACGTCTGGGATTAGCTCACAAATATCATGGCCATGGGGAAGGTAAGTGAAGCTTTCAAAACATCTGAGACACAATAACATTGGAAAGAGTTAAGATGTTGATCAAGATCGGTATTCGCAGATCATATTCTATGAGGACCAGAACTTCCAGGGCCGGTCCTATGAGACCAGCAATGACTGCCCCGAGCTCACCTCCTACCTGAGCAGGTGTAACTCCTGCAGGGTGGAGAGCGGCCTCTTCATGGTCTACGAGAGGCCCAACTTCATGGGCCAGCAGATGCTGGTGAGGAGGGGCGAGTATCCAGACAACCAGCGGCTGATGGGAATGACTATGAGCGACTGCATCAGGTCCAGTCGCATGATCCCCATGGTAGGTTCATCAGCTGTGTTAGTGTGGGCACAGTCGTGCCATTACAGGAGGGATTCCTCCACATTGTTGCAACTAAAAAGACTTGCAGAGCATGCGGTAAATAATCTAATTCTGTAAGTTCACTGAGCTGAAAGGACACCCGACATGTTGGACTCCAACTACGTTAAAAGCAGCACAAATTTTAAATATTTACAGTTTTTTAGTTTAACAGTACGGAGGCCCAGAACAGCCATGGTTGCAATAATTAAATATTAATATCACAAGTCAGTTTTCATGTTATCATTACAGTTGTTTTCTTGAGATAATGAGATCATTAGCTTGGGGTAACCAACCGTTCTGCTTCCGTACCCCAGTCTCATCACACAAGTAAAAAACCACTGACGTGTAGATCTAAAGGTCGGGTTCAGTTCAGACGTCCACAGTCATTTCCTTGATGTTTCCTCGTCTGCAGCACAGAGGACCCTTCAGAATGAGGATCTATGAAAAGGAGAACTTCGGGGGCCAGATGCACGAGCTGATGGACGACTGTGACAATATGATGGACCGTTTCCGGATGTCCGACTGCCAGTCGTGCAACGTGATGGACGGCCACTGGCTGATGTTCGAGCAGCCCAACTACAGAGGCAAGATGCTGTACCTGAGGCCAGGAGAGTACAGGAACCTCAGAGAGACAGGGATGAGCAACATGATGAGCTTCAGCTCCATCAGGCGCATCACCGACTCCTGTTAACTCTGAATGTACCGGGTGGGAAAATAAAGCAAGCTGAAATCTAATGTTTCTGATTCCTGAATGTCATTCTGGTGCAAAATTAAATAGTGACTCCTACTGTTCGGCCCTGAGCAGCCGTTTACTTTCACTCCATGTCACCGTCTGGTGCGTTTATAGAAGCTCCGACATTCAGAATTTGAGAGTGAGGTATTAAAAAATCAAGCCCACAGGGGAAGCAATAAGCAAACAGGAAGGTTGTGAAAAGGATCATTAAATATTCCCTCCATTAAAAAGATTAGCTTCCCACAAAGCAGCTCCAAGCTGAACTGAAACTTCTGGCCTGGATACGTTTATTTAGTCCAAACACTTGTTTCGAATCACTGACCTTTATGTCAGGCATTTTGACCACTCAGCTTTTGGATAATTTAATATAGCCCAGAATGGACAAACCAAACAGGGGCTCCAGAGAGAGACTTTTGTGTTTTTTCATGACATGAAGGCCACCGTAGTTCTCTGACACGCTCGTTAAAGTGTCGTAACATGAGCCTCAGAGTGCAAAACCGCCGTCTTAATTCTGCTGCTTCCTAAAGTAGGCGAGGCGAAGGTCCTGAAAGATACTACGCCGTTAACCGGTTATGCATTTGACGGCTCACGTTACCGCAGGAAAGGGAGAAGTGAGTGGAGGTTTCATCAGCTGGTTGCAATTTATAACCTTATCACTAGATGCTACTTAATCCTTCACACTGCCACTTAAAAGACAAAAATAACCTGCATGGGTGTTATTCTGTGTTGCCCATAAATTAATAAACACACTTTTACACCCTACACTTGACAGTAAAGTCTAATTTACCTTTAAACTCCCCTTAACACCTTTATAATAACAGGAGGGTGGTTAAATGACTTGCAACATAAGCTCAAGATGACAGTTATACAGTCCACACATTAGAATTAAGGTGTTATAATGTATCTAAAGCAGAACCAACTTTTAGAATGGGAAACACTGACAAATAAAGGCAGTAACAGTGGTTTAAAGTCACCATAATGTTATCATTTGCAGCTGTAACATTGCCGAATCATTTCTTTCCATCACTGTGTGACACTGACCCTCTGCCTTCACTGTTCCAGCATGTGTGTGATCCATCAGACTGGAACAAAGGCAAATCAAACTGCACCAAGCCCTTTTGCTGATATGTAAATCTCCCTCATTTGGGTATCAAAGACTTGCCACGCTCTGCACATTTTGTTTATCGATAAATACTTTGATGGGGCTGCAGCAAAGAATGAGGTTTACAGTGCATCCAAATGGGGAAGGTGAGATAAAAACCTACTGCAGCTTTTTAAAGATACTCATGTTCAGGAAAATACTCACAACTTTTCCTCTTCTGCCACAGATCACATTTTACGAGGAGAAGAAGTTGCAGGGCCGCTGCTACAACTGCAGCAGCGACTGTGCCGACCTGCACACATACTTCAACCGCTGCAACTCCATCCGGGTGGAGAGCGGTGTGTGGGTGATCTATGAGAGGCCCAACTACAAGGGTTCCCAGTACATCCTCAGCCCCGGGGAGTACGGGGACAGCCAGCAGTGGATGGCCTTCAGCGAAAACGTGAAATCCTGCCGCTCCATAAAGAATGTAAGAGTCTGTTTTGTGCTTAATGTAGCCTGTGACCTGAACATACAGAACAAATGAGTTCATCTCATTAGTGTCTTGTGTTTCTAGGCATATGGCAGTGTGTGGAAGATGAGGCTGTACGAGAGGCCAGACTTCGGAGGTCAGATGGTGGAGTGCTCCGATGACTGTCCCTCAGTGTACGATACCTACAAGCTGCGCGAGGCGTACTCCTGCGTGGTGGCCGATGGAGCCTGGGTCTTCTACGACCTCCCCAACTACAGGGGCCACCAGTACCTCCTGGAGCGAGGCGAGTACCGGCAGCACGGCGACTGGGGGGCGGCCTCGCCTGGCGTCGGCTCCTTCCGCAGGATCACAGAGTTTTAACTTTAAGCCCAGACTAGAAAGTGATTCAAGGGCTTCCCCGATGCCCACACTCACACAACACCATCAATAAATGAGAAGCAAACTCTGACTGTTCTCATGGCTTTTCTGTAAACATGCCTCATGCTGGACCACTGGTTTTAATTTGATACTAATTTGAGATAGTTATAATCTCATTATCACATACTAAAGGGGTACTACAGGGATTTTTCAAGAGACTGATTAAAGATTATAAAAAGATATCCTGACTTTTAGTTCTCCCATAATGCAACTCAGCAGCCTCTTTCCCCCACACCTTTAAACTCCATGTTCCCAGTTCGTATCACATGTTTCCTGTTATAGATTTATATCATACAAAACAAATATTAGGAGAAAGAAGGTAAAACTTAATAACTTGAGATAACGCAGAAATAAAAGAATAATCCCAGGATAACTGGCTTCATACGACCAAATGTTTTCAATCCAAACAAAAAACGACACCTCATTTCAATGATTTGTGCAACTTCAACAAGAGAGGAATGCATGATAGCAATTATATTAAAATAGAAAAATGGAGGATAGGAATTAAAATATGTCCTGTGGCTCCTCTAAACTTAAAGATGCACAATTCCCAGCAGCCAAGAACACACACACATATATATATATACAGTATATATATAGATATATATTTATGTACAGTATATCTGCTGTCCCTCATTGAAATTAAAAAAACAACATAAAAGTGTTGAAAAAATGAACTGCATATTGGTGATTAACAATATTCTTGCACCCTAACCAGTAATAAAACGTTTTACTTGAGGGCGGTGCCGGATGAAAGGACAAGAAGTGTCCAAATCGAAAAAAAGGTTCATCCTCTGAGGAGCATGAATGTGCTCCGTAAACAATCAGCCTTTTAGGTTTTAATATTTCTAGTGTTCAAGTGAAAATATTGTCCTGACTAGAAGAAAGGTTTGGTGGGTCACCAAATGCATTCGCAGTCATCTTCTGGGGATCATGAATATATGCAGTATTTGTCTGAATAAATCTGTTCAACAGACTGACAAGAGTATACTATTACTGTGCTTTAACATCATCTCCTGAACTATTATCATGCTAAAACAGTTAAACTACAACTACTGAGGTCAAGAGTGCACCTTGTTTGATATGAATCAGTTATGCGGTGTGTTAAATCACGACTCGGTGTCTCCTGTAAAGTCTCTGGAGCCTTCCCTGCGGTGTCACTGACTCAGCTCAAAGCGCTTCATATCAAACCAGATGTCCTGCAGTGGCCTTGTTGTTGTCAGCACGCTTTGCTGCATCCAGTGGCTTTTGGGGATGCTTTGCACTTTGTGTTTGCATTGTTTGGGGGAACAGGATTCGCCGCTTCAGGACAATGTGATGAGCCTGGATAAATATTTCCAGTTCACACAGAAAAAACCATGTGCTTAGTTTTATTGTTCTTGTTCTGTATAAAGAGAATATTGGAGGTGACTGCTTAAATGTTTTATACAACACAACCAAAACTATTGCTATTAACTATGAAGAAGGTGCATTTACACATATTTAATGTAGCACATACAGTATTCTTAAAGGTACATCTGTGAAAACGATTTGCATGTATGTTAAAAATGTAATTTTTTGTTTGTATACTTTTTCAAGATCATCTTCTACGAGGACAGAAACTTCCAGGGTCGATTCCACGAGTGCGACAATGACTCCAGCGACCTGCACACGTACTTCAGCCGCTGCAACTCCATCAGAGTGGAGGGAGGATTCTGGGTAACCTACGAGAGGCCAAACTGCATGGGCTACCAGTATGTGCTGAGTCCAGGAGAGTATCCAGACTACCAACGCTGGCTGGGCATCAATGACACCATCCGGTCCTGTCGCATTATTAGGAACGTAAGTCAAAATATGTTAAGTCTTGGTGTTAGTTACTTTTATGCTTTTGAATATTAGCTTTTTTGTTTTTGTTTGTTTTAGTCTGCATATATCTTTTCTTACTCAAGCTTTAATTGTTGCAAATGTTCAGCGTCTTTCATTTTTGTATTCTTCCAGTTGGGGAACTCGTGGAGGCTGAAGGTCTGGGAGAAGCCCAACTTTGAAGGCCAGACGACGGAGCTGGCAGACAACATGCCTGTCTTCCACGAGCGCTGGCACAGCCGCGACGTCCACTGCTGCAAGGTGTTCGAAGGCGCCTGGATCTTCTACGAGCATCCGAACTACAGGGGGCGCCAGTACCTGCTGGAGAGGGGCGAGTACAGACGGTACTCTGAGTGGGGGGGCGTGCAGCCCACTGTGGGATCCATCCGTCGGGTTAAGGAAAACTAGCCATGTCATTCTTTAAAAAGTGGAAAAAGGCTGAGCGCACATCTTGAAAAATAAAGTCATGATACGACATGATACTCTTTTATTTTCTTTTTTTCCCCTAAAAATCTGCATTATTAACCATATTTGATGTCACATATTTAATGGGTTTCAACTCACAATCAGTTATTTATTTTAAAGCTACTACAAGGAACTTTCATTTTGTTTTGGTTATGGCGGTCCCTGTGGACAAAAGTGGTAGTGTTTCCGAGCACCAGGGTCCCTTAAGAAAACCTCTCATTTTATAAAAACTAATATTCTATTCATAAAATGCAATATCTTTGACTAGTGATAGGTGGTGAGTAAAAGTAAATGCTATAGAAACTCAGTACATAAAATACGACATTACAGCATGAATAATTAAAACACAGTGACAGCATCCAGTCACAATTTCAGCAGCACCACGGGAGCAATCGGACATCGGCCATGTACTTTAAAACAATTGCAGCATCAGCTAATGTGCCAAAGTTAATGGGGAGCTCATTTGAATGACAATAAATCTAATGGCAGTGCATTTCATCAGCCTTTATATGAAAGTGGAGCATCAGTAATGCAGTGTGAACGAGGGGCTCTGACTTGATAGGGTGAGGAGGAACATAAGGTGAATATGGAGTGCACGGGGAAGGTGAGTACTATTTAATACTATGACCCATTTACACATGCAGCAGACACAGAATAAAACTAAATTAAAGGACACTGTCACAGAGTGAATTGCTTTAGTGTCATTTCTGCTAGATGGTCTAACAGAGTCCTGCTTGCAGATCTTTTTCTATGAGGACAAGAACTTCAAGGGTCACCACTATGAATGCAGCAGCGACTGTCCCAAGCTCAACGCTCACTTCCAGCGCTGTAACTCCATCCGGGTGGAGGGCGGGGCCTGGGTCATCTACGAGAGACCCCAATACATGGGCTACCAGTATGTCCTCGTGAGAGGGGAGTACCCCAACTACCAGAGCTGGAATGGCTTCAACGACACCATCCGCTCCTGTCGGCTCATCAGACATGTAAGTCCTGGAAAACATATAGTGATCATATAATGTATGCTTTTTAATTTGATTCAAATTGCAGGTGTTTATATCATCAGTTTTTTGCCCACTAATAGCAATGTAGCTATGGGCAATGCCCTTGTACTTACATTACATTATTAATGTGCTGTTTTGTGGGCGACTGTGGCTAAGTGGATAGCAGGGCCGTCCTTCGATCAGAGGGTCAGTGGTTCGAGCTCCGGCTCCGCTAGTCGCATGACAATGTGTCCTTGAGCAAGACACTTAACCCCAAAATTGCTCCCGTAGCTGTGCTTACAGTGTAGAAATGTGATAGAATCTGAATTGCAAGTCGCTTTGGATAAAAGCGTCTGCTAAATGACTGTAATGTAATGTTTTGTCCAGTAGTAATAGTCTAATACTGCTTGGTTTTTGCTAGGATGTGCTGCTTGATGATACAAGAATAATGCAAAATGTACAATAAAAACATGAAGTGGTCTGTGAATATAAACTGTATATTCACTAATGACCCATAGAAGGTTAAAGGAATAGTTCAACAATTAGGAAAGTACACTTATTGTCTTTCTTAAGGAGAGCCAGGGGGAAAAAGTTTATAAACATGGCCACCTTTAAAGCTCACTAACAAACACGTTATATTTTGCTTGTTTAATGTTCAAGCCTTCTAGCATGCACAAGATCCGCATCTACGAACGTCCAGACTTCGGTGGCCAGATGGTCGAGATCAGCGAGGATCTGCCCAACCTGGTGGACCACTGGCGCTACCGTGACATTCACTCGGCTCACGTCCAGGATGGGGTCTGGGTTTTCTACGAGCATCCAAACTACAGGGGACGCCAGTACCTGCTGGAGAAGGGCGAGTACAGACGGCACGCAGAGTGGGGGGCCCTTCATCCGTCTGTGGGCTCCATTAGACGTGTTGTGGACTCATCTTAAACCATATCACTTCCTGTTTCTCACCTTCCTCCATATTACCCTGGACCTGACTCACCTGCAAATAAAAACGCACTGACTGAAGCAGAAGGGGAAATATTTTATTTGGTGTGATTACGAATTAAATCAAGATGGAACAAATAAATAGACATTTTCGAACATGGACGTTACAGTTTAACCTTATAGGGTTCATCTTCTGGGGAGCATGACATTTCATGAAAATAAACATCTATATTCCTTGTTTACAAGTAGAAACTTGGCCTGTTATTGGTGCTAGACAAAAGATCAGGGAGTCACCAAAAACGTTACGATCCATCCTCTGGGGAAGATGAATATCTTCTTCATATTTCACAGAAATTAGACACATTTTAGAAGAAGTGTCATTTGCATGTGGCTGGCTGTGAGTTGGTTGCTTATAGTTCTTATCTCACTGCCAGGCACCCATGATATGTGAGCAGCCAATGTTCTTTAGATGGCAGCCGAAATGCAGCAGAGAGGTGTAACGAAATCCTGGTGCACAGACACAACAAAGTTAAAAGATAGTGTCCAACGACACAAGCCGCTCTCGTACTTACTTAAGACTCATTCAGATTATTTACTTCAGTAAAAGAAGTAATACTGCAATATAAAAGTCCTGCATTGAAAATAATTGGAAAATATTATTGTGTTATTAGTTCCCGAGTACAGGAGTCATTTAACCATCAGGATGTAAGCTTAAGAGCCACCTAGTGGTGATAGAACGTCAATAATAATAATTAATGCTCAAATGAACCATCTGGACACTGGAAGCTTCCACTTGTTTACACAATGTATTTGGTAACTTTGCATTATTGCAACTACATCATATTTACAATTCTACAATTCTAAAATTCTAAAAGATACAGAGAGAACTCTAGTAGACCTTCAGGAACAGGAGAGAGAACATCATAAACACAACCTGCAGACACATTTGATAAGAAACTGTAATTTCCTGACACACAGGACATGTTAGATCATATCATGCTTGTTTATCTGCCAGAGCGGATGAATAAAAGTCTGTGGTTTGATGTCCACGCAGTGGTAGACGTGTGAGGGCCGAGTAAACAGGAGACGCTGCAAATCAGTAACAGAGCTGCTGAGCTCAGCTGATTTTTGAACTGGAACTTTTATCACACGCACAGATCGTTTCTGGCATCCCATGATGCTGATCAAGCAGTTTCTAAGAACACAAACAATCATTGCAACCTGAAACAAATAACTATTCTTTAACTTGCACAAAGGGTTTCTTTGTTGCATGTATTGTGTTGCATATTGAAGCATTATGCACATGATTTACATTTTACACAGTCCTTTATTTCTATTTTTCCTTATATTTCTGAATGTTTGTATGTAAGAGCAACTTTATGAATTCCTCCCAAGGATAAATTAAGTATCTCTGACTCTGATGAAAACCTCATGCTAGCCTGTGAGTACACTAAATACCAGACGTAACACATAATCAGGTGGCATGCTCGGTGATCTCTCTGCAGCGAATGAAGCGGAAAGAGATCAAAGTGGAACTAAAACTGCTTTTCCACCCACTGAGATGAATGCACTTAGAAGCAGTCATGTGTGGTGCTGGAATAAATTTAGCACACATGCAGCAGCTATACACTGCATGTCTCGTTGTGATGGCTTGGAAAAAGACACAACAAAAACATCTTGACTGTTGTCATGCATAGTGTTAAGAGGTGAGGTGCAGTCGTTGGCTTATCATTAGATGATTAGATGATTTTTTAAAGTCCCACTTAACATGTAGTACAATAAGTTGTTATTTAGGGCTGCCACCAATTTATTATTTTCAATCGATGATTATGTCATTATGCCAAATCCTAAGTAATTTTGGTAAACTATATTGTGTTATGTATTTTTGGATTAATGTAATAATAGTAAAATAATAGTAATAATAATATCAAGTAGTAATAATTCAGCTAAACTATTCCACTTATTTATTGCTATTTTTACAATAATTGTATTTGTTTGTGCACACTTAGAACTGAGAAGTTAATCAATGAGTGTTAATTGATTCATGATTTATTTGTTTATTTTCGTCGCTGGCCCTTTAAGAGAGCTGTGGCGACATGAATGAAACGTAGCCATTCATAAAAAACACAACCGACCCCACGTCAGCGCAGTCTCGAACGCGATTGGCTCGCCCTTTGACTGACTTCGTGCTCCAGCCAATGGGAGAGCAGCACAGGGCTCTGGGTCAGATCCAGCCCTCAGATCTCTTCATTGACAAAAATCCACAGCCGAGAGTTTAATCCGAGGAGCTGCAGGGGATGTAGACAAGAAACTTCACTTATCAAGTGAGTGCTTAATTGTTACTATAACACTTACGAACGCGCGTGGGGGCTTTTATTTTGCTTTGTTTGGTCACATCGACTGCATCGTCGTGGTTTGTTTCCGGCTGCGAGGGCAGCAGAAATGGGTTAAGAGGCGAACGCCATTTTCGCAAAAATCAAAGGCAACATTTGCGTCCATTTCCCCGCATCTGTCCGCTCTGCAGAGAGGGGTTTCCGCCTGCAGCAGCAGTCTTTGCGGCCTGTTAGCATCGCGAGTCTGTCTCTGTGGTAAATTTCTCAATGGAGGAGCTGACCCCCCCTCTCCGCGAGGATCAAGTTTCACTTCATTGAGAAAAACAAGGAGGTCCCACCTCACGCGCTGGTCTCTCCTGTGCGTCACACCAAATCCTATTCACTAATCTTTGATTTTTGTTCTATTTAAGCGCAGCTCACGGGGTCATAAATAGCACTAATATGAGTCATGTCGTTTGATGTGGTGTTGACGTCATTACAGGGAACGAACCAAACTTATGTTACAACTTTTTTGCGTGTTATTAACGCGACAGTCTTCGGACAAAAGCAGTTGTGAAAGGTGTTGTTTACCTACGGAAGCCCTCTGCAGTCATCAAAGGTGATTTGTGACTTCCAGATGTTGTGATCACCATCTAACAATTATGAGATGAAGGTGTGAGAATCTTATAATCTAGTTTGAATGAGCCTGATGGGGTACTTTAAAAGCGAATATCTAAACAATAATAACTATTAGTTGAGTTAAAGTCTTGCTGGACCGGAATTCAAAAGATTAAACCAGTGTTTCTAAAGTTTAACCCATTTTACTATCACCGAAAGGTGTAAAAACACAGAAAAACAGTTTGAAGTAATAATGTAAAGTATACCTGATTTGTAATAGTATTTAAAAACAACTATAATTTGTCAGTAAACGTTCCATTCACTCATGGAAACTGTAGGATGTGGTTGAAAGCTCATCGAAATATAATAGTTGAGATGAGTTGAGATGTCAGATTTAACTTACAGGAAGTTGCATAATGTTGCTTTTATAGCCACTGTAAACCAGCTGTTGGGTCATGTGGAGTTGTAGTATTGGTGGAGAATAAATGCTAATTAGCCAAATGCACTGGAAATTCCCTAATCTGTCGTCCCGCCCCTCTTTATTCCAGGGTGAAGACTCCTCCAACATGGACGGCTTTTATGACCAGCAGGTCCCCTTTGTGGTGCCTGAGAGTGTGAGTGCACGGAGCCCAGCGACAACTCGTCACATTTTAAGGTTTACAATTCATGTTCACTGAATGTGTGTTTTAATCAAACCTCCAGAAATGTCACGTAGAGGGAGCGGAGAGGTGTCTCAGCGACCGGAAGAGGAAGTTCATGGACACGGAGCTGGCTCAGGACACAGAAGGTAGTCTCATCATGTGTGAACGTGATCTCCTAAAGGGGCGTGCTTGTCTGCGAGAAAGCAATATTTAGCTTTCTTGATGCATTCATAACTTTCTTGCAGAGCTCTTCCAAGACCTGATCCAGCTCCAGGAAATATGGATCAGAGAAGGTGAGACCTGAAAGCTTGGAACATAGAGAATACGTAACTGAAGTAGAGAAACAGGAAGCACTAAATCACAATACTGTATAAGTGGTTTCAAGGGTGAGAATCTGATTTTTAATATCCTGTGTTTTCCCCTCTGACAGCTCAGGTTCCCGATGACGAGCAGTTTGTCCCAGATTTCCAGTCCAATAAGCGTGAGTAGCTGCTTCTCCTCTAATATTTTAAGAAAGCGCTCCGAAGTGTCGTGCAACAGGGAGCACGTGCTAAATATATGTCTGAAGATATTACTGTGTTTACTGGCAACACAGTTTATGACGGGCCAATGAAATGATGGAGGTCACGTGGTGCAGGAAATAGAAGGGGATACAATGATGTCACAGATAAGACCTGAGTATGGGTAAATGGTACATTCAGTGCTGCTGCCTGACACGTACTGCGTGTATTTATTGCTGCTTGATAGCTGCCTCAACCGAACGACTCCTGGTCCCCGACCATAAATCTGATTGGATGGAAACGTCGCCGCAGATTTCAGAAAGGCTGAGATCAGATAGGAGGCTTTATTCCTGCTGCTCAAACGTGAGCCGCAGAGAGTGTGAAAACATTGTTTAACCCTTTGTTTTGCCATCACATCTCTGCGTGTTAGTCACAAGACTAATATGTCGGCTCCTAAAATTCGTTTGATATTCTGTAAGAAGCAGGACAGATGTTCACAATTCCTGTTTGTAGCATTTTTGTACCTTAATTAGAAAATTGTTAAATATAGCCAGCACTGGTTTGATCGTAATAAAACATAATTCTATTCACCTACGTTGTATTGCGGTGATGGAAGAAGTCTCCTCAGCACATAAAAAATACACATATCAAACAAAATATTAGTACAACAGAAGATTGTTATTCATGTGTGTGTGTGTGTGTTTGCAGCGATGTTTCATGGACCACCTGTCAGCAAAGTGAAGAGAGAGTCCAGTCTGTCTAAAGACCCATCTCCCTGCAGGATGTCCCACGCTGACATGTGCCTTTACAGTTACAGGTATACCATCAATGTGTTGTTATGGTTTTAGTATTTATACATATTTAATTTTGCACTCATTTTACCATGATTAATATATATATTTGTTTAATTTGGTGTGCATTAGACTCTTCAGGTGCTTTATAAATTGATTTAAGGATATTACTCCTATCAGCCTCGATGAAATGTGGTGATCAGCTGCTTCCTGTTTACTCTCCTCAGTGCCTGTGACAACAAACCAGCTGGGCTCAAAGCTCTGCCTCCAGCCTCCACACCAGACCACTGTGGCTCCTCCCATCCTGCTGGACCTCCACCCGTACAGAGGCAGTTAAACCCTTCTTCCCCCCAGCTGACCAACAACTGCCCCCCGACCCACGCTCCCACCCCGAGCCCCTCCCACCACCACAACCTCCCGGCGGCCAACCAAAGCCAGCAGTTTGCTCTGCCGCGCCCCCCCGTCAGCTGCCCCAGTTCATCCTTCACCACGGAACAAAGGTGAGTTCTTATCCAATGTGATTTTAAGCTGCAAACAAATGCAGTTGAAACCCTCAAACCTCCTCTTGTGTTCCTCAACACCTCAGGTTTCAGCGGCAGCTGTCAGAGCCCTGCTTGTCTTTCCTCCCTCCGGAGAAAACGGTGACCGTGCCGTACCAGCCCTCGAGCCGCGACGGCCGACCGTCATACCAGCGCCACCTCTCGGATCCCCCGGTCCCCCAGGGCCCCCGGAGTTTCAAACAGGAGCTGGTGGATCCACAATACCCAGAGTCAGGGCTGGCCCGGACCCAGACTGCTTTCAACCACGTCACGATCAAACAAGAGCCAAGAGACTTTGGCTTCGACTCAGGTGAGTGTGTCACCTGCTACGTCTACTTACACTCTCACTCTTAAGTCAAGTATTGAATGCTATTGCTGTTTTTACAAAACAATAATAGCAACCTAGGACTAGGTGTTGAGACTCTAAAGACAATTTGCTCCCGTCTTCCAGAGGTTCAAACCTGCCAGTCATCATTTGGGAAGTCTTCAGTCTTGTACCAGAATAACAGTGTCGGTGAGTTTGTGTGTGTGTGTGTGTCTTTTATAAAATAAGTTTATGTCGTGGTGTCTGAGCCTGTAGGGTTTCTCAGTCCAACAAATGTTTCTGATAATATTTCTCGTTTCTTCACACAGGTCTCGGTCATGACAGAGAGCAGCATCTGTACTACGACGACGCCGGTGTCGTGCCAGAAAGACTGGATGGTGAGATCCGATTCGGACAATTTTTTTTTCTGGTGAAATAGCGAGCGATGTACTCATCGTGTCTTCTTTGACTCTGTGAGCAGGCAAAGTGAAGCAGGAGGGTTTGCCGTACCAGCGCCGCGGCTCCCTGCAGCTCTGGCAGTTCCTGCTCACACTGCTGGACAACCCGGCCAACGCACACCTGATCGGCTGGACGGGACGCAACATGGAGTTTAAACTAGTCGATCCAGAGGAGGTCAGTCCTCGCCGAACCCCACACAGGGTTGTTTTTTAAAGGCTTAGATGTTTACGCTTGAAGGGACTGATGAGACCTGGCAAGGATTAAAAGAATCCTTACTTTTACCTTTTGGGGGGCGATAAACCTAACCAACAGACAAAAAATTGTCCTTGCGTGTCTTTACAAACCAGCTGGATGTTTTATTGAGTTTCTTGTGTGCAGGTGGCTCGGCTCTGGGGCCTCCAGAAGAACCGACCGGCGATGAACTACGACAAGCTGAGCCGCTCTCTGAGGTACTACTACGAGAAGGGCATCATGCAGAAGGTAAAGGCAGGTCTCACTGTTTACACATTTATTATGAAGTAAAAGTCATCTTTTTAGTTTGACTTTTTTAAGGGTTTTCCTTATTGGAACCTTTTCATATTACAGGGTAAATCTGGGTATTGTAGTTCATTTAAAATATTTGAAATTTGCATTAAAACGATCATCCTTTTCACCTCCGATTGGCTCGTCCTGCAGGTGGCTGGGGAACGGTACGTTTACAAGTTTGTATGCAACCCCGAGGCGCTTTTCTCCCTGGCTTTCCCAGACAACCAGAGGCCGAGTCTGAAGGCCGACCCGGACGCCATCCTGCCCCCCAGCGAGGAGGACGGCCTCCCCCCGCCCAGCTATGAGGAGGAGGGTCCGTACCTGGAGGGAGCGGAGCAGTGCGTCCAGGGACTGGCTTTCCCTGACAGCTACCCGTACTAGACTCCACAGCCTGGCAGCTGCAGGAAAACATGAGATATTTTACAGGAGGAACCTGAATTACTGAGCAGTGTTTGATATTTTCAACATGTATTGCCTCGTCTATGTCACAGGCAAGAAGAATTTATCAGAGAATTATTTTATTGAAAGTAAACTAAGCCAAAATCAGTGGATGTAAAAATCTGAAGTCTCTAATGCTGCGTTCACTCCAAACGCGTCGCGAATTATTCGCGCGAGTAGATTACATACAAAGTCTATGCACAGACGCGATGAGACTGGCGCGGCACGAATTTGCGATGGCGCGACGCGATTGACGCGAATTTGTGCCAAATCTGCCCAAACGCGCGAGTTGAAATTTTTCAACTTCTGCGAAATATTCGCGTTACGCCCCGGCGTGATAGCCTATCAGCATTGAGTTGCTCCCCCCGTCATCACTGACTTCCTGCCGTTGTTGAATCAGGAAATAAATACTGTAGCCGTCTGTGTTCACCCAGAGCTCTACGATCAAATCGGCATCATTACGTAGTTATTTCGGAGTCCCTTTTTGTCGGTTTATTGCCGTTAAATCGCAGCCAAATCAGTTCATTTTGTGTTCATACAGCTGTAGTAAACAGCGACGTGTGGCTTGCTAGACACAGTGAATACAGCTCGATAAAATCCACGGAGCTCCTCTGAACAATATTATGAACCCAGACATGACAGCGTTTAGTTTCCCGGGATATCTGTGACTTCCACAACACGTGCTAAGCAGAAATAGAGGTTCTTTTTTTCATGGTTAATGGCGGACAGTTGAACGGCTTTCAGGGCGATAAGCTGCGCCCAGCGCGATTCACGCGATTCACACATGAACACAAATGGTCCCCGGCGTTTTGACCGGCGACGCGAATGACGCGAATTTGGTGTGAACGCAGCATAAGACCGTTGATTTGGACTCACTCCCTCAGCAAAAATGCAATTCTTTGTCCAAAACTATTGTTGTTATGACGGGTTAGGGTCACTGTTTACAAAAGAAATTGTAAAGTTGAGATAAATTAGTAATTTTCTGAAGAAAAAAAACGGTATTTCAAAATAAAAGTCAATAATGTGACATAGAGATATTATAATTCAAGAATAAAGTTGTATTTTGACTTGAACAATACTTGTCTCAATAATGGTACACTTTAGTCTCATAAAAACTGCAACTTAATTCTCTTTATCTTTTTACGGTTTTACTCTCATAGCATGACAACCTTTTCTTCTCAATATTTCAATTTCATGCTCAGAATCGCAGATGTTTCCCCGCCTGTCTCAGTGACCCTACAACCTGCTAGGTTGTAGTTTTATAGCACGGCTGTCGCTGTAGTCCTCGCGTACGTGAACTCTGGGAATTCAACCAAAAAGTATCTTCAAACCGCGGGCACTCCTTTTACTAATGAAATTAGTTCTAATTGTTTTTCTTTGGTAAACCTTATACTGCTTGCAAGGGACACACTTGTATTTTCCAGATGGTATAGTCCTCCTATAAACATGTATATTGAAATGTCTTTTGTGTTGTTTCAAAGCTAATATTTTTGGCATTATATGGACATGTAATTTTTTCCTAAACTGTTTTATGACAAAGGTACTGCGACTATTTTTCTGTAATACTGCCACTAAGATGCTAATAATAAGCATGGACTTTCTGACAAACGGCTCACCAGTTCTTGTACCGAGATAGTTTTCTGCATTTTGTATAGTTGATTTGCTTCAATGTGTAGAAAAAGGTGTATAATTACATATGAATATATTTTTGCAAAAGGCTGCATTTGCTTGACGTTGTACTATGAGCTGCAAAGTTTAGCCTGCTAATGTATTGCATCAATTCCAGCCTCTCTGGTGTAACGTCTACCCTCAGATACTGTATGTGTGCCTTCTGTTGATCTTTACTGATACAATAAACTATTTTACTCATTTCTTTCGCCTATCGTTTGATGTTGTTCAAAGCTTTGTCTAAAGTCAAGCAGCATCAGCAGCGGCCTCTGCTGTTTGTTAGAGAAGTGAAAAGGTTTACAGAACCTGATATCTCCAGGCTGTCTCCCAATTCAAATACTGACCAGGCCCCACCCTGATTATCAAAAACATCAAAAATACAAATAAGTTCAAAGTATTGAAAAAAATCATAATTATGTCCTGATAACCCAAAAGTGTAGAAAAAATAAAAGTCCCAAAAGCTCAAAAGATGTAAATGCTATACACAAATAAATAACCCTCAAAAATAAATAAAACCACCAAAAATCAAATTAGATAAATAAACACAGTGTCTCTTTACACATGTTGTAACATCACAACTAATTTTACTATAATAAACAATATAATTCATAACACACAGCTACACTATTCTCTATTATAGGATTCATTATAACTGTAGCAGCATTTTATGTAGCTGGGAAGCAACTTTGTACATTGATATACACACATATATTACATACTGTGTGATATTGCATATATTTTGCATATTTTGCATCCAAAATTATAGATGGGTGCAGGTTGACTGGTGATTACATGGTCCGTGTGAACTATGGAAGTCTTCAGGTTTGTCTTTGTTTTATTCTTGAACATTATGCAATTCACCACTCTCCATTCTTAATGCTAACTATTAATATAATTATACATGCTGCATGTTTATTATTGTATGATTTTTACTTTAACTGTCATATGTTTCATGTTAAGAGAGATGTTTTTGTTTTGTCAATATGCAGCCTCGATGGATGACATCTATACTTCTATTCTATTGAATAAAAACAAACTAACATCTGTACACAGCAGGAAACTGTAATAGTCAAATAACATGCTTCTTATATTTAAGTGATTTTGTGACTTTGTTTTGTGTCTCCATCCTCCAGAAAAGGTTGGAGGAGCAGCTGGAGAGCGAGAACGTTGAAGACAAGCAGAGGATGCTGGACGAACTCACAGAGTAAAGAAACATAAGTAAATCAGAAATATTCTCGCAAGACTTTTCCTCTGGTCCTCCATTTGTTCTTTGTGAATCACAATTAAGCGAGAAGTAACCCCTCGGGTCATTGTCAGCCATCTTGGATTCCGGTCCAATTTCTGTCAGAATCACATGCATATGAGTGTTTCCAGGTCCACACCTCATTCACATCTGCAAGGTACTTAATCAGTTACTGGACTGCCCAATGATTGAGATAAATGTTATAAAATAGATTAGATTAGATTAAGTAGATGTCCCCATATGCCTGTCCATTTCCTGAAGCCACTTTCTACGTAATTATAATAGTGTGCATGCTAGTCAGTATGTATTTTGGAGGAAAACAATGAAATATTTGCAAAAACATACTGTACATTTCTCTGTTGCTGTTTCACCACAAGTGGCCCTAGGTGTTCCTGAGTATACAGGTGATGGGGCTGTAGCTGCTGGCCCTCGAGTCCACCGCATGGAGCTGCACTGTAACCCAGTTAACAAAAAGGTCGTCAGCAAATGAAATGCATGATTATAATATTAGAGCTGCAACTAATACTTAATTTCATTGTGTTGTCTCTAAACTTGAAAACCCAACTGAGAGGGAGATCTGACCACCACAGCACTGAGCCTCTCTGACAGCTTACTAACGACTCTAAAACTCTAAAACTAACATTTAATGCAACACTTGAGCGAACAGAACATTCAGCTTCACTGCAGGTTCTGAACAGCAAAATAGTCACGTCGTGCTGCAAGCTTCTCACTCAATCACTAACCCGCTTGTTTTGGAAGATTTAACAGGAAGAAAAGTAGAGTAAAGTAAATAATACATTAGATATAATAATATATGTTATGATGTAAAGCATTTAGATGTGTCCATGTGCTTACAGAACATTACAAACTCCATGTACACAACTGCAAAACAATATTCCTTAAATATTCAATCGTCTTGTTTTCAACTCCGCAGATGTGGATTTGATGCTTCAACAAATGTGTCTTTCTAATCAAATTCGAGGAAACAACTCTAATCTATAAAACAGGGTCAAAATTGAACAAATTGTTTTTGGCGTTATCTATAATTGGTAAATCATAATTATTGTTTTGTCCATATGACATAATTGGCCACCTCGATTACCTAATGTGCTAATGTGATGAAAAATCTACCACAAACACATGCAACTATGTCAACAAACACAGAGTGTAATACCTCTGAGATCCAATTATAGCTTCTCACCCAGCAGCAAAAACAAGCACTGATTAGTGTCCGAGAGAGGCTCCTCATTAGCAGAGCTCGCCTCCTTCACAATGACTCTTTAAAGTGACACATCTAAACCACAGAGGCACCAGGCCAATCTGAGGTGTTAAAAAAACAAACGGTAGGAATGAAAACAGGTAAACAAGTCAAGTAGACTCTGTTCATGTCTCGAAAAGTTTTGAAACTCAGAGCAGTTGTCCATTCTCCATTCATGCCGGTGATAAATAAACTTTTATGGCAGTTCACTTGGCTTTAGACTGAAATCTAACTGTAGAAAACTCTGTTTAAACGTTGTTGGTTGAACATTAAACTGGCAAAAGTGAGCTGGATGGGATGTGTCACCTAAAAGATGGACTGTGATAATTAGGACCAAATTACATACAGAACTAAATGTGTATAATACTTAGTGTACTTACTAAGTGTATGAAACTATACGACTGTGTATGCTCATTAGATTCCATCAAAATAGAGTAGATATGTTGTTTTTTGATCCTGTA